GATCACCGCGTAATATCCTTAACCATGCTCTATTCACTCTAAATTTCCTACAACTTGATGCTCAGGGGAAATCGGCAGCCGATCGTCATTGGCACCAGAAAACAAATGACCAATACGCGCAGGTCATGTGGAAAAATCCCTCTACACTCAAATGGCAGGGCCCTGACCCGGTCCTCATATGGGGACGCGGTTCGGCCTGTATCTATGACTCTCAGGAAGGGGGGCCTCGATGGCTGCCCAAACGTCTAATCAAACCAATAAATCCTCCCAAGGAAAATAACTCACTCAACCCAGGGAAAAATCCCTGAGCAAACCTTTTCCTTTTCTCCCTTACAGACAATGAAGCCCTGCCTCGTCCTCTTTACATACGCCTTCTGTGCACACGCCGGTTTTGGACCCCCCCCAAATCCTCAAGAACTCAGAAGGGCCCTTTTTGGAAATCCCTGCGATTGCAAAGGCGGTATGTCCCCAATCACTCCCCCCTCCTATTCCCGGCAAGTTGATTGCAACACGAAAATAGCCTATCTTGCCTACACTCACACATATTCAGGGATATCAAAGCAACAATGGACCTGCAAATCCAAATCCGCAATCATTCCTGCCACACAGGGTCGCCCTGGGCCTTGCCCTACACAGTGCACCTCTATTCTCCCGGCAGTCCATGTCACTTGTTACACTTCTGCTCAATTATGCACCCTCCATGGTCAAACCTACTATACTGCTATTTTAGAAAGAACCTCTCCGCGTCCCTCTGGCAGTGTTTTCGAGAGAGATCTTAAATATTCTCAGGCATCCTGTCTAGGTACTGTTGGCAAAAGTGTGTGCTGGCATACCATTGCCCCGGTTCATGTATCAGATGGAGGGGGCCCCAGCGACATTCAAAAACAAACTCTTGTTGCCCAACACATCCAAGAACTGACCTGACAGTTATACCCTCACTTAGACTACCACCCACTCGCCCTTCGAAAACCCAGAGACATTACCTTGGATCCATACACACAGGGAATCCTCGAAGCCTCTCTCTCTCTATTAAACTCCACTAACCCCTCCCTTGCACAGGACTGCTGGCTATGTATAACCATTGGTATGCCTCTACCTACTGCCATTCCTGTCTTAAACGCTTCCTATGTCCCTTTCAATGGAGATGCCAATTGCTCATTATCACCCCCCCTTTCAGAGTACAGCCCTCGGGTTTCAATTCCTCCGGTTGCTTCCAAGGGAAATTTCAAAATAATTCTTATGATAGTGACGTCGGATTTGTCACCTTTTCCGATTGTCATACTGTAACTAACGTTTCCACCTCCATCTGCCCCCCTCCAGGACAAGTGTTCATTTGTGGAGGCAACCTTGCCTACACCATGCTCCCTTTCAATTGGACAGGCCTCTGCATTACAGCTAGCCTTCTCCCCGACATCTCTATCATCCCCGGGGATGAACCTGTCCCTCTCCCTAGTCTTGACCTTATAGCGGGACGCCACCGGCGTGCTCTCCAAGCCATTCCCCTACTTCTAAGCTTGGGGGTTACAACCGCTGTAGCCTCCGGCGGAGCGGGGATAGGGGTCGCTGTTAATACCTATAATAAGTTGTCTCGTCAGTTAATTGATGATGTTCAAACTCTCTCTGGAACTATTAATGATCTACAAGATCAAATTGATTCTTTAGCTGAGGTAGTTCTACAAAATCGCAGAGGATTAGACCTATTAACTGCAGAACAGGGAGGAATCTGTTTAGCTTTACAGGAACGATGCTGTTTCTACGCCAACAAGTCTGGCATCGTCCGAGACAAAATCAAGAAATTACAAGAAGACCTCATCAAGCGAAGAAAAGAATTGTTCGAGAACCCGCTTTGGACCAGACTTAATGGACTCCTCCCTTACCTCCTCCCTGTCTTGGGCCCCCTCTTTTGCCTCCTTTTGCTCATAACCTTCGGTCCCTGGGCGTTTCGCCATTTTACTAATCTTATCAAAAGACAAATTGATGCTGTCCTCTCTAAACCTATCCAAATCCATTACCAACGGCTGGCATTGGAAGAAGGCACGGAAAAGGACTACTACGGCTCCCTCCCTACGGGGACGACATGATAACCAGAGGCATGTCTACCCTCTCCCTTTACGAGAACAGGGTATGAGCACCGGGATGAGTGTAGAACAATGTATTGCAAGGGAAGGTCTCAAAAACTTCGACCTCCTCTGGGTATCCCTGTGAGCACGCCTGGCTTGCATAGAGGTTGGTATCTAATTTTCTAATTTTCTCAAAAATCAATTCTGGCTATGCCTCTCCTCCCCAAAAGATACCAAGAGCCAATGGTGGTGGACTCGGAGAATCCACGGGAGGAGCCGGGCCCCTACTCCCTCACCCGGTTAATGCTCACCATCCCTTCTGTCTTTGAACAGAAAGGGAGGAGATGTTGGGAGCCATTTTAAAAATAGCAATCATCTCATATAAGCCTTCTTCTTTGTCCTCCAAAAAGCCCGCGCGCGCCAAGCCACAACACCCCTCCCACCTCCTCTCCTCATACCACCCACTACTCTTCCTCCTATCATAAGCCGCCACACGCCCTATTTCAGCCCGCCCCTCTTTGCTATGTATATAAGCAATCGCCTAACAATAAAATTTAGAGGCTTGATCAGAACACTGTCTTGCCTCTATTCTGCGTGTCTCCTGTCTCTTTCTCTCTTGGTCTCTCTCTCTCTTTTCCCCAGCAGCAGGTAGTCCTCCTCGTGCCCACGTTTTACTTGTCCCGCTGGTCGGGACATTAGTACTAGGGTTTCACCAAAAAATATGACAAAGCAAAAGCAAGGCAAAGAAATCCTTTTATCTCTACCGCTCTGTAGAGATGAAAAAACAGAGTTCATAGATGTAAAGCAGCTTGCCCCAAATCATATGACTCATGAGTGGCTGAGCTGAAATTCAGATCAGGTTCATCTTAACTTGAGAGCTATCAAACATTTCACATAGATGAATGCCTAAGGCAGCATTGCATATTACATGCTTCAGAGTAACATCTGTCACATATAATACGGTATACGTGCATGTAAACCATACAAGCTTAATAATAAAACACACAAATGAACTCACCACCCAGTTTAAGATCTGGATCAGGGAAGGGCTCGGTGACTCAGCCTGTAGTTCCAGCACTTTGGGAGGCCAAGGTGAGTGGGTTGCCTGAGCCTGCAGGAACCCGCCTGGGCAAATTGGTGAGACCTCATCTCTACAATAAATCAAAAATTAGCTGGGCGTGGTAGCGCACGCCTGTAGTTCCAGGTACTTGGAAGACTGAGGTTCTAGAATCGCTGAGGCCCAGCAGGTCGAGGCTGCAGTGGCCGGGAGTGGTCACTGCACTCCAGTCTGGGTGACAGAGTGAGACTCCAACTCAAAAAAAAAAAAAAGATCTGGATCAGTGCTAGTACTGTTTGAGTCACCTTAGACAGAACTATGCAGTAGTAACACATTCATTGTATGTACACAAAATCGCTGCAATTTCTCTCTAAGGGTGGGTTTTTCTTCCTTCCCTCCCTCCCTTTTTCCCTCCCTCCCATCTTCTCTTCCTCCCTCCTTCTCTCCCTCCTCCTCCTCCTCCTCCTTCTTCTCCTTGTTTCTTTCGAGACAGGGTCTCATTCCTGTTACCCAGACTAGAGAGCAGTGGTGTCATCATAGCTCACTGAAGCTTTAAACTCCTGGGCTCAAGCGATCCTCCTCTTTCAGCCTCCTGAGCAGCTGGGACTACAGGCATGCACCACCATGCTCAGCTAATTTTATTTTATTTTTTGTAGAGGCAGAGGTCTTGCTATGTAGCCGAGGCTGGTCTTGAACTCCTGGGCTCAAGCGATCCTCCTATCTTGACCTCCCAAAGTGTTAAAGGATTACAGATGTGAGCCACTGTGCCTGGCCAACAAGTTGCCTGAGTCCAGGGGCTCGAAACCAGCCTGGGCAATTCGGCGAGACCTTGTCTCTGCAATAAATCAAAATATTGCCCGGGAGCGGTGGTGCGTGCCTGTAGTTCTAGCTACTTGGAAGGCTGAGACCTAGTGTCTTTCTTTTAGGTCAACATTTCTGTCACTGTGAGTAGGATTCAGAGCTCCCCTTCCCCGTGCCACCAACACCCCCACCCCCCATAGACATTTCTATTGGACTTGGCACCTGGTCAGATCTGAACCCTTTGTGTTATTCTGACTTTAAGAGAAATTGTTGAATGTAAGGAGGTGAGTTCCTACAGAAATCCAGACCCAATCCACCCACTCTTTGGTTGAAGGTTTAAGATTTTATTTGGGCTGTTCTTTTCTACCTTCCCTTTCTAGAGTAGAGGTTCTGTCTTTGCCTTTTCAAGAGATCAGGTGTTTTTTTTGCGGGGGGCGGGTAAAAAACTACCTTTTTTCCACCCCTGCTTTAGGACAAGAGGTTTAGGTCAGGCAAGGAGCTCTCCAGAGAACTTCTGGATTTTCCATCTCTGTCACACAGCAGAAGATTTGGATCAAGGTAATGACAATTTGGTGCTGGTAGTTTCATTTTACATAGCACGCTTTCAAACTTGCAGCTGCTTCCTCTTGTTTGAAATGCAGACCTTACTTTTCATTTGCGATCAACTCCTTTTAGTTAAACACCAGTTGGCTTTATGGGGGTATTCTCTTGTAGGTATCTAGGAAAGTGGACCCACCTAGTCTGGGATGGTCATATACAGTCATGGCCAAAATGGGAGTCTTTTGAAATGACTAAAATAATTAATTTGCATGCACAGTTGGAGAAAACTGGTTTTAGAACCAGACAAATTGAGCAAGAGACTTACTTTCAATGGCACCTAGAAGCTTCTAAAAGAAATTCTGAGAAAATAGCATCCATTAAGAAAGCAAACAGCCAGGTTCGGTGCCTCAGCCTGTAATCCCAGCACTTTGGGAGGCTGAGGTGAGAGGATTGCCTGAGCCCGCGGGTTCGAGACCTGCCTGGGCAACTTGGTGAGACCTCATCTCTACAATAAAATCAAAAATTAGCTGGGCGTGGTAGCACGCACCTGTAATTCCA